AGGTTTTTGGTTCAAAAATTTGGCTTAGTGTTGGAACATGAGATCGATCGAACTGGGAAGTTGGATTGATCGAAGAACTTTCAGATCGATCTTGGAATGTTTCGAACGATCAGACAGAGAGCTGAAATATGCAGGTTGATGCAGGCTCAAAATTTTTCTAAGTGTTGAGTTATGAGATCGATCAAACTTGGAAGTTGGATTGATCGAAGGTCTCTTGATCGATCTTAGAGTTGGTTCGAACAATGGGACAGAGAGGTGATTTGGATGCAGGTTTCTGCAGGTCGAAAATTTTTCTAAGTGTTGGATGCAGAGAAGAGTTCGATCAATCGAACTCAAGTTTGAGATCGATCGAACTATGCAAAATGCTCAATAATGACATGAAAGCTTATGCAATCCTCACCAAAGTTCCTTGAAATGCATATGAACCAAAAACAAGTATCTAGACTTTGTAAGAAATGAAATGAAAGATAGAAATGGGGGAGGAATAGGGTTTTAACACCCTACGAATGCTTTTGCTAGTCGTTAATGTCTCTAGAAAGACATTGGGCTTTTTAGCCCATATCAAAGATCTTATAATGCATCCCCTCCTTGTTGGGATGATAGACGCTTTGAACTCCACCCAACAAATGGTTCTTTGAAGAACTTGTTGGATTAAGCTCAAAAGAAGTCTTTGGTCCCTTGTTTATGCAATTACAACCTTTGGGCTTCCATGCCCTTTCAAAGCAAGAGTTTGAAACAAGACTTTTAGAATGCAAGGTTGAAGATGATCCTTTGGAAGTTTTGGTTTTACACAAAAGCTCATTTCCTTGGCATTGAAGATTATGACATTCATCTATAACATTAACTTCTCCTTCATATTTGTCAAATGAATTGGGTGTGGGATTAAAGATATTCAACTTCACCTTCATGTGGCCAAATGAGATCTTCATTATCCCCGTCTTACAATTGATGTTAGCATTAGCGGTTGCCAAGAAAGGACGGCCAATGATAACAAGAATTTGGCTCTTAGGATTGGGAACCGGTTCCATGTGTATGACAACGAAATCAACCGGGAAGAAGAATTTGTTAATCTTTATCAAAACATCCTCAATTATACCCCTAGGCTTCTTAATGGATCGGTCGGCAAGTTGCAAAACTACCGACATCGGTTTCAATTCACCTAAGCCCAATTTGACATAAACCGAGTATGGAAGAAGGTTAACCCTTGCTCCTAAGTCAAGAAGCGCCCGATTAATGATATGATCACTAATAATGCATGATGTAGTGGGTGAACCGGGGTCCTTAAACTTTGGAAGAGTGTTATGTTGCAAAATTGAGCTTACTTGCTCGGTCAAAACCACTTTTCTTGGTGCTTGGCTCTTGTTCTTCCGCTTTTGGGTGCACAAGTCTTTCAAGAATTTGGCATAAGCCGGAATTTGCTTGATTGCATCCAATAGTGGAAGATTAACTTTCAATAGCCTAAACATTTCTATGATTTCATTGGTTTTGCCTTTTGCTTGTCTTTTGAAATGGATCCTTTTTAAGGCATCCGAAAATGGAACCTTTGGTTTAAACACTTTTTCAAAATTTTCTTTTGAACTCTCTTCAACACAAAAAGTTTTAAATCATTTTTCAATAAAACTTTTTTAACATCATTTTTCAAAACTTCTTTTCCAAACACATCTTTTAAAACTTTCTCATTTACAAGATCATGTATATGTAATGAAGGAGGAATGGGATGTGAAACGGGACCGGTGACAACTTGAGGTTGCACTGATTCACTCTCTTCATTAGACATTCCAACTTGATTGTCCACAATCTTACCACTCTGCAAGGTAGTCACCGCATTAACATGTTCAATGGTGTGGCCTTCCGATGAGGAATGGGTTTCCACAACACATTGTTGCTTAGGTGGGGCATTTATAGGCATCTTTCCTTTTTCTCTTGCATTGAGAGTGCTTGCTATTTACCCTACTTGGGTTTCTAGCTTTGCAATAGATTGAGAGTAAGAATGAAGCAATTGAGTGTTAGCCTCTAAAGTGCCCAAAGCATTCAAAACTTTCTCTTCAAAGGCGGGACTTCTAGTATTACCTTGGGAATAAGATTGGTTGGGAAAATGAGAATTAGCAAATTTATTCCCTTGTGATAGATAAGGTCTATAACCTTGGGATCCTTGGTTTTGAAGTGGAGGTGGAATGTACTTCCCTTGAAAACCACCTTGGGAAGGGTTTGAGCCCTCTCTTTGGTTTTTCCAAGAGAAATTCGGATGATTCCTCCAACTTGGATTATAATGAGTACCATAAGAATTGTTCCCTTGGTTCACAAAAGCCGCATTGACTTGTTCATTAGGTTCACTTTGCATTTGTCCGTGAGGACAATGAGAAGTAGAATTAAGAATACTAGAACGAGTCATACATGTTTCATTTGATGCACGATGAGAATGGTTAGGGAAGGAAGATACTTGGTTCGTCGAGTTTTGGTTAATCAAAAATTGATCAAACCTTTGAGACAAAAACTTCATTTCGGCGGCTATTTCATTTGAATGGTCGACTTGATGTAAGCCAACACTCTTCCTACCTTGTGAATTTCTACCATTCTTGGATGATAGTGTTCTATGTAAAGAATTTTCACTCATGCTTTCATAGAGACGCCACACGTTATCCTCACGCCTATCAATGTATGAGCCACCCATGGAAGCATCAACCATACCCTTATAGTTGTCCGATAAACTCTCAAAGAAGTATTAAACTAATTGTCATTTGGGTATGTCTGATGTGGACACTTCCTAAGCAATTCATTGAAGCGTTCCCATGCCTCATGAAACGTTTCTCCATCCCAATGTGAAAATTCTCGAATTGAGGTCCTCATGGCATTGGTCTTAGAAACCGTATAGTACTTATTCAAGAACTCTTGTTGCATTTTCTGCCCAAGAAGTGATTGAAAAAGGCCTAAGATTGTTAAACCAATACTTTGCCTTGTCTTTTAAGGTGAATGGAGAAAGTTTTAGTCTTAAAACCTCTTCTAGCATGTCCGTATATTTTACGGTGGAACATACTTCAAGAAACTCATCCAAATGCTTGTAAGGTTCTTCACTTGGAAGTCCATGATAGTTAGGAAGCATTTGAATGGTTTGTGGCTTAATTTCATAATGATGTGCTCTAAATTAAGGCAATTGGATGCATGTAGGTGCATTATACTCATTAGGCACATAATAGTCTCTTAAAGCAATAGGTGGATTAGCTACCTGAGGTGCAACATGAACAACTTGGTTTTGAATTCCTTGATTGTTGATAGGAGGTTGTGGAGCATACATTGGCCTTGGCATTCCATATGGAACTTGGCCTTGTTGTTGTGGTGGTTGGTGAATGAATGGCCTAGGTATGCCTAATGGTACTTGTATGTTCTCATTGTGCACATTGGGATGAAGGATACCTTGTTGGTCTATGCGACCAATGTCCTCAACATGATTGTCATTATGGTCATTCATTGAAAGATTAGCTCTATTTGAACTTCCTCTTCCCCTAGGATTTCTAATGATAGATTCTAGATATAAATCAAGAGGGATAAGTGTTGGTCTCAATGAACGACGTCCATGCATGCACAATGCAAAACACAACAAACACAAAGAATGACAAACACTATGCCTTCACAACAATGCAATTAGACTTTTTCCACAAACATTTAATTCATACTCCCATACTTTAACAACAATGATGCAAGACAATAAAAAATAAGCCTCCACACGGGCTAACGATTTAACTAAGGGATTGAGTAAAGAAAATCTCACAAAGGTCCTTTAGCACTTCAACTCCAAATTTAAAGCTTAGCTTAGCAATTTTAGAATTTTTAGCTGTTTACTTTCTTTGCTTGCTTGAATTGAATGCTTGATGGCCACTTTGCTTGCTTCCTCTTCAATAATGCACCTAGTTAAGTAATCAACACAACAAGTAACCAAAAAGAAAAATAAAAATAAAGTAAAGACATGATTAAAAGAGTACTAATCCTAATCAATTCCACAAATCCGACGTTGCCAAATCTAATCAACAAATCCCCGGCAACGGCGCCAAAATCTGACGGAGTGGCCGTTCCTACACGCCAAATGGATGTAATGAATGTGTGGTTCAAGAAAAGCCTTTTGAGTCAAGTTTAAATTTATAAAAACCACTACCAACACTACTACTAAAGTAGCAAGAGTGAGTAGGGATCGTCTCAAGGGATTGTGGGGATCGAGCAATGTCGTGGAATCACAATTAGGGCTAGTAGGTCGAGTGATCAAACAATTGGTTGGTTAGTTGATTAAAGAGCAACTAAATTAAACTAAGTGATAGCAAAAGAATGCAATTAAGAGTAAGTAAGAGAGAGAGATCTTGGGGTTTAGAGATCACCACCAAGTAATGCATTTCTATATCATTGACAAGTGATTAATGAGGGCAAATGGTGTGTTGCAATATTGGTGTGTGTGTGTGTGTTTGGTTGATTCAACAAGCAAGGATGACTAGTTAAGTATGTATTGTCTAAACATCATGTGAAAGGCACAACATATCTAAGCAATGAAGCATATATTGTCTAAACAACATGTGAAAGGTACAATAAATCAAAACAAGTCATTGATCCTTTCATTAAGCTCACAATCCAAATACAACACAAGGTTAGAGACATATGCTAATTACATTCAAAAGCTTGGATCATCAAACAACAAGCATAGATTGTCCTCCCATTTAACACTACACTACAACTACACTACATCTACAATACTAGCATGAAAATAAACTAGGGGAGAGGCACAATCCATCAAGAGATAAGCATGAACCATCAAGAGAATCACAAAAGCATTCATTTAAGCACTATGTTTTAACAATCTCCAAATCTATAACATCAATACACATAGACATGCATCAATAACACAAAATCTAGAGACAAGCACATGAACATCTATTCTAGCATACATAGACATATGGATAGAATGAAATGACCAATTGGAAGCATTAAACCACATAAATCATTAAATAAACAAGATCTATATATATCAAAGTATCAAAACATCAATTACAACACTAATCCCTCAATAATACACAAGATTAAGATATAGAAAGCATGCTTGGGGCTAACTCTAGCCCCAAGAAGATGTCTAGCCACTCATGGTGATGATGCTCCAACCCCCAAGGGCTAATTCCATGGTTGAAATCTGCTCCTTGTTGATATAGAACTCCAATGGTGTCTCTAGCCTCCTCACCCTCTAAACTTTCTCTCCAAGAGATGATATGAAAATAAATGTTAGCTTTTTTTTTTCCTTTTGTAAAAACAATCCTTATCCTTATATAGGTAGGTCAAAATGACACCCAAAATGAGCTGGGGTCGTGCACACAATATTCCCTAATGATTGGATAAAGGACAACTTTCAATGAGATGGAATTTTAACTTTTTCGCACTGGAGGAAGTTCGATCGATTGAACCTTGAACTTGAATCGATCGAAAGTAAGTAAGATCGATTAAACTTAGGCTGGATCGATCCAACTGGCTGAGCTTTTTGGAAAAAGACAAATCCGAGATATTTATGAGAGATATTTATGGGAAAAGGACAAAAGTGGTTAGTGGGTGGTACAGCTGTAGATAGTATCAATCATTTGAATAAGGCAAAAGTGTTCGATCGATCGAATGATGGTGTTGGATCGATCGAACTTTTGGAACTTTATACTTTTGGGTCAAAGCTTGGATCTATCTTGAAGTGCTGAGATCGATCATTGTTCGATCGATAGAACCTTGAACTTGGATCGATCGAACTTTGCTGCTTGCCACCTTTTGCTTCATTTGCTTCCTTCTTTCTCCACTTTGCTCCTTTCTTTGTTTAATCCCAGAATTGCTTCAATTAAGCTCTTATTTTGGCTAAGTTAGCTTATTTTCGGGATAAGTGCCTGAAAAAGGAAATAATACGAAATCAATCTAAAACGGTAAAGTAAGATAGATAAAGGTACTAGAATGCCTAAGCTTAAGGGGTTTAAATACGCACTTTTTAGTGCTCATCATGTATAAATATAGTGTCACGCCCGAAATTCTAAGAAAATGCTCTGATACCATTTTTGTAACGACCCAAACTTAGGGGTCCAAACCGTATCCGGGTCCTTACTCGAACCCGAGGTCATCTACTGTCACTACAGTCATTCCTAATTCTAAACTACAAGGGAATACATCATACCAAATCTGAAAAACTAAAATACGGATTCTAAATTTCTAAAGTCCTGCAATTTCCAAACTCATTTGTGAGCCATACTAAAGGCTAACCCTGTCCCACAACAGTTACCACATGCATCTATAATGGTAATATCATGATCACACACATAGACGAAAAAACCAAAAGTTCATTTACATGAAACATTACATCCGACTACAGTCCCAAGACATAAGCTTACGAAAAAGATACAAAACAAGTTTAAAGTTTTACAAAACTTGTATATACAACAGAAAATAAAAAAAAAAGTCCGTTAAGTCCTGTTTAAACCTGTGGGGGATGTCTTTCGCCACTTCCTTTTCGTGTCCTGAAAAATAATAGTAAGGAGTGAGCACAACGGTTCAGTAGAAGATGCCTAAAACGCACTCCTTAATGCCTCCGTGAATCCAAACAAAGAATAGCGATAAGAAAAAGGGTCATGCTTGTTCGGGAAGTAATAATCATCACATAATACGATCTCGTAAACGCAACGAAATGCAATGTTAATGAGGTGCCAATGTCTCTCTCTATTATCCAAAATTCTATCGAACATTTTCCCCAAATTTCAGATTTTGCTTTCATTTCGAAAATAAAATCTTCTCCTTTTAAAAAAAATCTGTTCTGCCCCATGTAATGCCCAATGTAATGCATGAATGATACACTTCATAATCTCATAATGTTATATCATTTCCAACATCAAATTTCAGTTCTATAAGTTGTACTCAATAACAAACTAAAATGACAATTTTAAACCCACAACATAATCATTCATGTTTTGAAGTCAAGGTCCCAGTTCAGTTTTTGAGCAACAACAACCACCACAATCCTTACAACAAAACAATCTTATTCATGCTTTAGAAACAAGGTACAAATTTCAGTTTTATATAAAACTGTAACACCATCGTTGTAATAACTAATTTTTCAGTTTAGAGAACACCCAACATCAAAACCATCATGCACGCTTTAAGGACAATGTACCAATCAGTTTTTTTTTAAAATATTATTATTATTATTTTTAAACAATATTAACAACACCCAACTTAGAACTAAACAATCCATAAGTGAGGTAAACTAAACATCAAATTTTCAACATCTAATCAACAACAATACAACCATTATGGTTACTATAATTTCAATTTTATACACATAAACACAACCGACATTAAGAAGAGCTCTAATTCAATGTTTAAAACAAATAACATGTCATCCCAATGTAAGCAGCAAAATTTCAGACTTGCAACAACAACACAATAACAAAAAGAAGCTTACAACAAAACAATTTTATGGTTGAATTATCATAGGAATTTCAGTTTATAAGCATAACTACCCAACCATTGTAATTACTAGAATTTTTTGTTCTATGCACATGAACACAACCAATATTTAGAGGGCAAAAATTTCAATTTTTAAAAGAAAGAATACCACAACACACCATTAATATACAAACTATAAATTTCATATTTAACTACATAACATGCTTGCAAGGAAATTTCAATTCTAGTCATATAGTGGTTCAACTAAGAAGGTTAATTCATAAGAAAAACAAAAGAATTGAGGTTTAGGACAACCCCTACCTCAACCAAGCAAGATCTTCAAAACAGCCCCCAAATTTGAAATTCCTAGCCCCTTGCAAGATTGGTCTCAATTAAAAACTCTCCTCAACTCATCAACTTCCTCACCTATGGCTTCATAAAATCTCACTTTAATCACTCTAAAAACAAGCTTAAATTGTGAAAGACATTTAGTGTATAAAGATGGATATAGAGTGAGAAAGTGAAGGGTTAGAGAAGAAAGAGTATTTTGCCGGGTGAAGGAAAGAAGAGAGGAAATAGTTTGATCTACAATTGACCTTATGATCAATAACTTGCCACCATGTGAATGAATTACACTTTATGGTTAGTTACTCTTTTGCCAATCTATAACCATTGAAACTTCGTCTATGTCCCAATAAATAGGAAAATTTGATAACATTACATATAGTAAGCAATTTGCTACTATTATAAATTTCCTATTTAAATATTGCATTTATTTTCTATTCTATAGTCCGTTTCTAAAATCCAAATAATGCTCAATAATTAGGTAACTCATGATGCAGAAACTGATTCAAACATAATATTACTGTACATAATTATATTCTTCAAATAAAATCACGATGATTGAAAAATAAAAGCAAACCCAGTAGAACAATTTTTAACTATTTCAATAATGGATTAAAATAATATATATAACGGTTATATATAGTAAAGAAAATTTTCATATAACATTTCAGAATCTATACTTTCCTTTGCTCAATAGGAATGATTCTATAAATTGAAAAACAGCCTTCTTCAAATCAGCACATATATGAAATATTCATATATAGATCAAAATACACTAGTGCTATATAAAGAAGTTACTGCCTCGTATCCTTTAAATAAAATAATAAAACCTACTCATATAATATTATCTAATAAATTTGGTAACTTTACACTAATTCAATAAGCATATAAACAAATATATTATAAACAAATACAAAATTTTAAGAGTATACGATTTTATATAAGAAACGTATCAACTTTAGACTGTTGTAAAAATTTCATATATTCATAGAAAAATATATAAATACAATATTCATACGCAATGATTCAATGAAATGAACAACACCACCAATGTGAAAAATCTAATAACAATTCTTTCATTAAACTGAATAATATATCATTGAACAATATGGATATAATAAAGAATAAGAACTGATAAATAATTCAGATTAATATAATAATAAAAATTAATAATGAAAATGACAATAATAAAATAGGTAAGAAAGAACTGGCCTGATTGTTGAGGCATGTGTAAACACATGGACCTAAAGTTGATAATTCTCCCATTCATGCGGGTATTGGTGAAACTAGTCAATTCCAAGATACAACCCAATCAGCTCGCAGTGACGTCTCCTCCATGTGCACGACCGCAGGAAGACTAGGTCCAAGTCTATACGTGTCTCGTTACCCATAAACTCAATATGTAAAATAGTATATAATAGAATATAGAATATTTCTATATGAGTCTCACTCATTCATATATCATCACTCATATATATTCATATATACAAATATTAAAAAGATAGAAAGAATATGATAGGAGTATATACCTCTCCATATTTTAGATCAATGTCTCTACCATATATCACTCTACCACTACTACCATACATATATATAGATAGTAAATATGTAACGTCTAAGATATATTATGATAAAAATAATGATTCAAATAATATACTCATAAATATTATTTAACTTCTGTAATAATAATTATGTAACACATTTAATAATATACATAATAAATATTATATTAAATATTTTTTTTATGTTTTTTATTAAAATATTTATAACAGAGTAGTAGTAAAGAGTTCACTTGTGGTGGAATTGGTGAAAAATGGAACAGCTCAGAAGATAAAGTTTTCTCGGATGCTGTGCTAAATTTTCAGATAGTGGGTTTCATTCAGGATTTGAAGGGCGTTTGGAGGGTGTTAGAGAATTGGATAAGAATCTGGAAAAGATTGTGGATGGTGATCTTGATAGCAGCCAATCACTAACGGTCAATGCAAATGTTGGTAAGCATTTAATGATATTAGATAATTCTTTGATGCTAACTACTTGTTGGGTAGTATAATTATGGCCTATTGACGATTTCTTAAAAGATTTTGTTTAAGTAAATTTATTGTTGTTTTACTTTTACAGGGGAATATACTATAGAAACAATGAAATGGAATTATCATTGTAGAACAATGGTCATCTAAATTCCTTAGCATAAATGAATTGATGACATAAAAAGGGGGTTTCACAAAACGTCTCTAATTTGATTTATGTCCTTTAGATATTCTCTTCATTTGAGTTGTTATGAGAACTACAACTACAAAAGCATCTCACTTTTGTAATTTGAACATGCAACTGTGGTGATCAATTTTAACTTAGTCTATGCTATGAAATCAATGGGGAAAGAGTGGAATGCTGATAAATTGATAATTAATGAACTATTTAAGCGAATCTTTTCGAATAGGATTTACAACATAAATTTGATTGATAGGACAGAAGTTTGGGAATCAATCAAGTATGTTCGAGTGTGGACGTGGAGCTCGATGAGCTGAAAGACATATTGAGAAGAGCATGCGTTAGGATACCAAAACATGGACTTTGTAAGTAGCAAAGGGAAAGGATTTTTTTTTTTTTTTTGATAAGTCAAAGTAAGCGAAAGGTTTAGATGGGTTAGGTTTATTGAAAAAATTCTTTCGATGGCGTCTACCAGGACTAGTGCTTGTAGACGGATACACTTTTCTTGAAGGTGGAGGGAAAAGACAAAAGGGGCACGGAAGATTTTTCTGCATAAGATCTGAAGTTGCTTAGATGAATGGAAGATATGGCTATAGAAAGAGTAGAATGGGGAAAGGTTATCTGTTAACTCAGCTTAAACAAATTTGACGAGGCTCGAAAGATTATAAAATAAGTTAAAAGATTACAGTATGGTGGATATTGTTCTAAAAACATGTCTAGAAGCCTTGTATTTTGGTTATTTGTACAAGAACTATTTGAAGGGCTTCGGTAGATGTGATTGGATGACATAGCTTGCAGGAGAATTAATATGGTCAAATCCTCTCCTATTTATCATATATAAACAGTTTTTTTTTTTTTTGGTTAAACGTGGTTATTTATTGAGGAAGAATCTCAAACAAAACCAACAGCAAAAGCCCACAAGGATGAGATTCAAGGAAGAATCAGCACCCTGGTTACATTACAATCTGAACCAAGCAGAAGACTTCTTGTATCTTCAAGCATTCTGCAATTCCTTTCACTCCAAATACTCCATAGAGCAGTGACAAAAAAGGACTTTCACCAATTTCCTCCTCAAACTAGAAGAAGAATAATTTAGAACCCAATGAATGGCTTGTTGAAAAGAAGTCATCTGAAGAAAAACTTGACAGTGAAAAACTGAAGCAAACCAAGTCCAAACTGATTGAGCAAAGGAACAGCTCGAAAAAAAGATGAGAGGCAGAATCAACATCTCTAAAACAATTGTGACATAAAGCAGCAAGAGAAATCTATATTGACTTCAGAGATTGAAGTTCCTCCTTTTGTTGGTTCTAGTTTTTAGAACCTCTGTTTCTAACTGCCATGCCGTTTTTCAGTTTTGATGGTTCTAAAGGTGAAGAGGCGGCCAATATCTCTGGGCTTTATGTGAAAGCTAACGCATATAAAAACCACAGAAAAACTTTGGACTACAGATTGGGGAGGGGCCGCGCGAACGCAGGCCCCCACTACCACAAATTATGATGTAGGCTCCACTACTTGAGTAGACCTTAAACAGGCACCCCTCCTGAGTGCAATGGAGGTCACCAATCTAGACCATGGGCCTCATTGATCACCCATAGATCCCATCCAGGTAAGTATGTTGTGGGTTATGCTTTCAACTTATTATATAGGCCTGTCAGACGTAACTCGCATTTATGTTTTGTCGATGTGGGACAACAGAAGCAAACATTATACCCCAACGTCGGATAGTCTAGACAGAACTTTGATCTGATACTTGACTCTTGAATGCATATTTGATCTTTGTTAGCAAATTAGGACAAGTTGGTGAAATTGATGCTTGATGAAGGGTGAATGCATATCTGAATATCTGATCATTGTTCATGTTATTACCCATTGTGAGTGTCAAATACTAATATAAAAGCAAGCTTAAAAGTTGAATGCGCATATCTTCTTATATTTCTTGGTCGGGGCTTCAAAAGTTTGAAAATTGATGGTTGATGAAGGGTTCCTGGAGGATATTGAGACTGTCGAAGAAATGATGGAGACCCTTTTCAAGACTAATCAATTCCATAGGGGCATTGAAGCCTTTTCAATCAATGAGGACCAAAAAAATTGATGATTTGGGTTTATCAATTGGATGTGTAAAAAGAGTAAGCTTGAGCAAGCTTATTTGGTGTTCAAAGAAATGCACAAGAGAGGATTGAAGCATTAACAAATAATAAGCGGATAAAAAAGTAAGCTTGGGCAAGCTTATTCGGTGGTTTTAAATGAACTTTTACTTTATTAAAAAATAATAATAATAATTGGAATCCTGTAAGGAACAAAGAATGCAAGAAAATTCTGCAATTCTTTTGTGGTGCTCAATTTAAATGCAGAAAGCATTTTGAAATAATTCATGGAAATAGCATTAACAAATTTATGAAACTGGACTTAAATTCATGGAAATAGCATTAACCCTGATACTGTTTCATATTCTACATATCATCTTGATTGATTTAAAATTTAATTTTCTTGGACTCAAATTTCAAGAATCAATAAGATGCCCTATAATTCCCGGGGAGAGAAAAAAAAAGAAAGAAAAAAAAGAAAAAAGAAAAAAGAAGATGCCCTATATACCTTATTCCTTGTGCCAAATAAGGTTTTGTTTCAAATGCTTCAATTTAGCTTCTTATTATTGACTAGTTTTATGTTTTTTGTTCAGATAGTTAAGAAATGCAAGTTCCTTTACTCTGCATAAGCTTGCAAAGCCCGTTGGTTAAAATGTTGCATTTATGCAGATGCAGGGGAGAAGTTTGGGACCTGCTAGAATAATTTGATGCCTCAATAGCATTACATATTTCGCTAGAGCACTACAATTGCACTGATATTTAATTTTAATATGTGATACCTCACTCAGTAATATCTGCACGATATTTATGGAGAATTCAACCATATATTACATTGTCATATGTAAGGTGTGAATAATAGTTCTCTTGTATAAGTAAAAGTAGTAGGGATTCCGGATTCTGTCTAATTTAACAGACTACATAAATAATGGGATTAAGT